TGGGCCCACTCCCTGCTGTTAAGGACAATGGACAGCCCTGCAGTCATAGACTTGGTTCCTGTAGGTGGGGTTCACACCCTACTGATAATGGTTCCTGTGGAGATCCAGCTGCCATCCTGAATCTAGGATCCACCCATCTTGTCACATGTATACCCCATTCCCTTCTCTTCCTATTGCGTATATGTCCCTAGACCACCCCCTCTCATTGCTGTATAGTGCAACCCCTTCCTGTGATGTTTGTCTTTACCTGTAATTAGTGGGCTTGCACACCCCGAAAAGGTATATAGGCCTGGGTTAGCAATAGAGATCCCTCCCTCTCGCTAGGTTCCTCCTCTCCTCCTCGCTCCCTTGTTCCCTTGTCCTCCTTCCCTTCCCCCTCTCTCCACGTGGACCATCAAGCAGGGGGCTGAGGTGAGCAATGCTACCATGAAATGTGTCTGACTCCATTATTGCAATATCTCTTTTATCTCTCATGCTCTCGATGACTTTAATACAATATTTATATATCTCAACCGTACAATTGTGCTTACTGAACCCGTGATTAGTGGTGGGGGGCTACCCCCCCCTCAAACCACAAAGATGGAGAACCTCTCCTTTCTTGCCAACCTCCAGCTTTACCTAATCTTATGCAAACACTGATACAAATGTTCATATATGTTCTACTCCCAAAACCTCACCAGCACAATATCTTTCACCTTAACTTTGTTTCCTTATGTTTACTCATAAACTTATGTTTACTTATGAAGCTTTTACTGTACTCCTGTTCTATGCCCAATGTTGCAGGATGTCTGAAAATACAAAGATAGATAAGACTCAATCCTAGCCCTCAGGGTGAATTATGTGGTTCATAATTACTGCATGGGAGGGTTCATACCGAGAAAAAAAAAAAGCCAGTGCTAAAAAAACACACCCCATTAATCTGGAAGCAAAACAGATAGGAATCTGGGAAGTGGTCTCAATCTTTCACAATGGATTTAAAACCCAACTATAGCAGAGTCAAGCTGGTTTGCTCCTCAGCAAAATATATCTGTAAACAACTAATAAACATAGTGTGATATGTGCTATGATAAAGGAATGTATACCACACACACACACACAGTAACAGGAAGAGTTTCTGAAGGAGTTGATGCCTAAACAGTAGCTTAATGAGATGCAAGAACCAGGGGAAAACATCCCCAAACCTATCACACAACTAGCAGTTCATGGCAGTCTTATTTTTTTATGTCCCCAGCAATACCCCCACTTGAATTACTTTGAGACAATCTCCATTTCTTGTGAAATAATTAGCCAGTATATATTGCTAGACTATAGAATGTATTCTAAAAATATACACTACAATTGAAAAAATAAACAGAACTAATTTAAGAAGCAGTACAAATGATCAAGCCAGGGAAAGCTTGCTGGTTAAATAGAGAAGATGGCCAAGAACAGGATAAAGAATTATGAAAAATTGATAAATAATGGTGTTACTCTAAATAACAAAATAGACACTAACTCAAAACGAATGTGAAAGTAAATTTCTATGTTTCTCTAAAAAAGCATGTTATATACAATCCGTTTACTTTGGCTCCTCACCTACTATCCAGAACTGGAACGGTACTGTTGCTCTGTACATTATAAATTGCAACCATGCCATTGTAATAGCCAACGGCCAAAAGGTTGGGTGATCCAATAGAAAAATCCAGAGCGGTAACTCCATGTACATTCTGATAAATACGTTCTGGCCACTGAATTAAAAAACAAACAAACCCATACGTTGCATTTTAAACAACTTCTTGTCAGCAACAGCAAGCGATTTTATTATCAATTCACTTTTAATAGGTATATATAGTGAAAAATTTTAAGTAAGAGTTTAATATAAATTAAGAGGTTTTTAAAAAAATCACTATAGGGAAATGTAGTATAATAGGTACAAGTTGAGGTGAAGTGATGCATTAACTGTTGCAGTAGGCGAGGTAAGATTTGACCATGGTAGTGGGAAATGAGAAAGGCTGGTCTTCCTACATTCAGTTACTCGTATCTGTTTACCAGCCCTGGTGGCTCTGTGGTTCAGCATTGGGCTACTTAACCCCTACGGTCCACAGGAGAAAGATGAGACTGCCGCATGGAGTTTTCCTAGTCCCCCAAGCCCTGCATGTGGTCACTCTGAGTTCGAATCAGCTCAGTGGCAATGGGCTTGGCAGCTTTGTTGTTGCTGTTATTGGTTTCCAATAGATAGGAACAATAGATTTCAATTTCCTTTATTGTCAGAGCTCAGGAGCTTTAAGAAATACAGCCTGGGCTGCTATAATAATTACCATATTTTGGTATTCTTTCAGCAGGATTAGTATGACCTTCACACATATCTATCTTCTTTTAGAAACAAATAATAAGCCTCAAACAAATCCTCTGCCTTTCAACGTCTGTTTCAGATGTTTGGATTATGTAATTTTTCTAAACAGTGAGTATAAGAAGGTCCAAAATTTCTAAAATACCTTGTTCTACCAATCTGTCAAGAGAGTGTGTGCATGTACATGAGTTTTCCTTTTCATTTCTAATGCAAAACCTTTCCTGTTTCTAATCATGCAAGTGGGGCAAGAAGACAAGCTATTGACAAGGGAGCCAAGGTCAAAACTTCCATGTGTTTAAAATTGCTTCTTCCATTCTTTCATGATTTAGAAATCCAACTTCCTAACAGACTGCGGCTACTTATAGAAACCTTAGTTTTCATATTTTCCTTTGGTTCCTCTATTTTCCACTTTATATTGTTTTCTACTTTACATATTAAAACTATTTGTAAAGCCAAAAAGTCACAGACTGACTCATGCTGCTTCGCCAAAAAAGATAAATATGATTTTTACTCTCTGACAAGTACAAGACAATAATCTCTATCTACTGAAGGTAGCAGAGAGCAGAAGTTAAGAGGCAACCCAGGCGTAAAAGACATATATAATTTTCAAAGGATTTTCATTTGAAAACGTCTTCTTTGTAATGATATTTGATAATCAATATTGGTTCACATCTGCACCATCATATCTAACAGCACATAGTAAATACTCCAAATATTTGTTAAATGAATTTATGAAATAAATTTCCTCTATCCTATGTCAATAAGAACTAGTATAATTGTTGTGAATAAAAGCCTAAGAAAATAAAGAAGTTTTGATTGATAAAATCTCTTGATTATAATTTATAACATGTATTAAAATTATGTTGACCTTTAAATAGTCAAATAAATTTGATCTTATTCTTGCGTGGATTACCATGGGATTCTTTAGAGACCAGCAGCAAGCCAATCCTCTTTTTTGTTCTTTAAATCCAAAGTGCCCATAGCCCACAGCCAAAATGTCCTGGAAAACAAGAACAGAAACCAAAAGCACACTTAAAACAACACAGCACTAAAGGTGTTGACAAATGTATCAATATCCACATTGATTAACTGTGTTACATTTTTCAATTAAGAAGAAAAATACCAGTATATCATTTATTTGTATATGTATAGTTCCGTCTTCCAGAGCTCAAAGAAAATTAATCAATACAATGCTTCCCACCCTTCCGGACTGATGAATAAATGAATAAAAAAGAACTAATTATTAGCTAGTTTTTTCAACATGTTGGAGTGATTTCCCAAAATTATATTATGATTTTATAATAGCATATGGGTTTTTAGGATGACATAATCATTTCTAATGTAAAATAAAAGTTAAAGTCAAGTCATATCAAGAAATACATTTATAGATACAAGTACATTTAGACAAAAGCTTAATGACTGACCAAACCTAGTCTCTGCCTTCTAATTAGAAAATCTTTCTTAAAAAATATTATATTTTGACACCACCCTACCTCCAGGCTAACATAATTTCTCAGTCACTCCCTCTATCTTAAAACACTCTTCACCACTATTCTTTCTACACTACCACTAACAATTCTACTCTTCTCTAAGAGAGCCCTTAGGTGATGTCGAGCTGCTAGCTCCAAGGCTGGTGGTTCAAACCCAGCAGCCACTCCTCAGGAGAAAGATGAGATTATCTACTCCTGTAAAGGTTCAGTCTCTGAAACCTCAAGAGCAGTTCTTCTCTGTGCTATTCGGTTGCTGAGTCAAAATCTACTTGATGGCAGTGGGTTTGGGTTTGGCAATTCCTCTCTTGTAACCCAGCACAGACTTCATTCCCTCTAAGAAGCTTTCAAGGGTCTCTCTACTTTACTCCACATCACTCTTATTTTCTTTATCAAGTCACACAGCAAACTATTATCTGGGCAGAGTCTTTGTGCAATTAAATTATTACTGTGTCTCTAGTGCTTAAAAGAGTGGCACTAAGTGAATGATCAGTAAGTATTTGTGAAATAAATTGATAAATATTATAGATACTATCTTTCACGTAATTTTATTTACTTTTATATTAAGTTTTAAAAATTCTACGATATTCAGTTTACAAATAGTGCTCATCTATCTTCAATTACTGATGATTAATACTGATTTGTTAAATCTCACATTTCTACAAAATGCTGCCAAATATACTTTCATAAAGACAAACTCATTAAAATAGCTTAATTTTATTCAAAAATAAACACTTAATTAAAACAATGTGTTATTTAAATATCAATATTATTATAAACATTCTGCTTTGTAATAGCAAAGCAACTGGCAGGATTGCACAATAGGTTTGAATATTAACAAAACAAAGCTAATTCTTAAACATACATAATACAATACAGATTAAACAAAATCTTTTAAATTTCTTTAGAAATGTATTGTTTCAAGAAATATATTTTAGGACAACTATCTTGGCAATGCCTTCAGACCAGTTTATACACCCAGGGTAGGTGGGAGGAGTGGATAATCAATCTCATTTTATCATCATCTCTTTGTAAAAGCAAGCTTACCAGCCCCCAGCTTGATTACTCAACTTACTTTCCTAAAAATGTCTTTCGTCAATATTTAAGAGTAAAAACTCCGGAGGCAGCGGTCTGCGTATTTCATGTACTAGCTGTGTAACTCCGGGCAAGTTATTTGTCCTGTCTGTGCTTCTGGTTCTTCAGCAACATACGATAATGGGAAATATGGACATAACAACCCTATAAGGTAGGTAGTAATAGTTGTTGCTGTTAGCTGCTAGCAAGATGCCTCTGATTAGCAGTGATCTTATGTAGAACAGAATGAAATGCTATTTAGCCCGGAAGCATCTTCATGATCACTGGTGTTTGAGTGTTGAGTACACAAGTATTAGCTGCTGTTGGTGATAAGAGCACTTTGTTGTTGCTGTTATTAGTGTTCTTAACTTGTTTTCAATTGATAGCAACCCCACGTAGAGCAGAACAAAACACTGTCTGGTGTATCCTCATCATTGTTGTTATATAATTATGTAATTGTTGTTATATAATTGTTGCAGCCACTGTATTAATCCATCTTGTTGAGGATCTTCCTCTTTTTTGCTGACGTTGTTTTTCAAGCATCATGTTCTTCTCCTGGGACGGGTCCCTCCTGATAATAGGTCCAAAGTACAGAAGATGAAGTCTCACCATCCTTGCGCTAACAGGCATTCTGGCTGTACTTCTTCCAAAACAGATTTGTTCATTCCTCTGGAAGTCAGTAAGATGTTCAATATTCTTTGCCAGCACCACAATTCAAAGGCATCAAATTCTCTGACGTCTTCCTTATTCATTATGTACATATGCATATGAGGTAGCTGAAAGTAGGATGGCTCAGATCAGGTGCACCTCGGTCCTCAAAGTGACATCTTTGGTCTTTAACACCTTAAAGAGGTCTTTTGAAACAGATTTCTCCAATGTAGTACACTTGGTTGATACTGGTTGTGGATCTAAATAAAATGAAATATTTGAAAACGTCAATCTTTTCTCCTATAATGATGATGTTTATCGGCTAAGTGGTGAGAGGCTGTTTTCTTTATGTTGAGGTGTAATTTATATTGAAGGCTGGAGTCTTTGATCTTCATCAGTGTTTCAAGTCATGTTTGCTTTCAACACTCAAAGTTGTCATCTGCATATCACAGGTTGTTAACAATCTTTTTTCCAGTCCTGATGCTGCAATTTCAGCCCTTCCATATAGTGTCGTTTCTCAGATTATCTGCTCAGCACACAGATTGAATAAACACAGTGAGAGAATACAAATCTGACACATGCCTTTTCTGATTGTAACCATTCAGTCTCCCTTTTGACTGTTGCATGACTGCTTCTTGATCCATGTACAGAGTCCTCATGAGCACACTGGAGTGTTCTGCAATTCCCATTCATCTCACATGACCCATCATTTGCTATGATCCACATAGTCAAATGCCTTTGCATAGTGAATAAAACATAAGTAAAGGTCTTTTTGGAATTCTCTGTTTTCAGCCAAGATCCATCTGATGTCAGCAATGATAGTGTTTGTTCCACATCCTCTTCAGAATCTGACTTGAATTTTTGGCAGCTCCCTGTTGATGTACTGCTGCATCCACTGTTGAGTGATCTTTACCAAAATTTTACTTGCATGTGATATTATTATTTATAGTGAATATTGATAATTTCCACATTCGGTTGGGACATCTTTCTTTGGGATAAGTAAAAATATGTATCGGTTTTCCAAATTTCTTGGCATAGATAACACAGCATCAGCTTCTTGGAGCATTTCCACTCATATGCCACCAATTCCTGGATGCTTGTTTTTCACCAATGTGTCCAGTACAGCTTAGACTTTTTCCTTCAATACCACTGGTTCTTGATCATATGCTACCATTTGATATAATTGAATGTGGGCCAGTTCTTTTTGGTACAATGTCTATGTATTTGGTAGGTACTATGTAGTCCTACCACCTTCTTTTGGTGTGTCCTGTGATGTTCAATACTTTGCTGAGAGAATCTTTCAAAATTGTAACACGAAGCTTGATTTTTTCCCCCCATCCTTTCAGTATAAGCTATGCTGAGTGTGTTCTTCCCTTTTTTGGTATTCCAGCTCGAGGTCTTTGCACGTTGCATTATGATACGTTAGTTTGTCTTCTCAAGTTGCCCTTTGAAATTTTCTGTTCAGCTATTTTCCATCATTTCTTCCATTCACATTAGATTATCTATATTCATGAGTAAGTTTCAGAGTCTCTTCTGACATACATTTTGGTCTTTTTTCTTGTCTTTTTAATGACATTTAGTTTTCTTTAGCATGGCGTCCTTGATAGCATCTCATGATTCACGTAGTCCTCAGTCATTAATATATATTGGGTTCATTCTGTCCTGGAGATGGTCTCTAAATTTAGGTGGAATATGTTGAAGATTGTATTTTGACTTTGGGGGGACTTCTTTTAATTTTCGTCAGTCTCAATCTGAACTTGCATGTGATGGTCTGTTTTGTAGTTGACCCCTGGCCTTGTTTTGGTTGCTAATACGGTGCTTCTCCATTGACTCTTTCCATAGATGTAGTCCATTTGACTCATGTGCTCATGGAAACATTAGCCAAGAAATAAAAAAGTAGGGCAGTTCTATTCTCTCCTATAGGGTTTCTATGAGTTGGAAACCATTCAATGGCAGTGAGTTTTTTGGTCTGTAGAGGTATGGCAGGGGAGGTTGGAGGGAAATGAGGAGCTAACAAGTACTAGAAGAAAATGTTCTAAAATTGATTGTGATGATGATTGCGCAATTCTTCCAATATGATTGAATGATTAAATTGTATCATGTGCGAAGTATATGCCAATAAAATTATTTTCTCAAAAAGAAAGAATCAAACACTATATTGCATTGGAAAGACCTGCTGCCCACGACTTCTTTAAAGTGTTGAAGAACAAGGGCATTGCTTTAAGGAGATTGCTCAATCTCCTCATAGGCAGGTGCAAGTTAGACATCGGATCAGGAAGACTGAAGAAGAACCCAATGGATTTCATTGTGGTGCTGGAGAAGAATATTGTAAGTACTGTTTCCAGAAAAATAAACAAACATCTTTCTTGAAAGAAGTATAACCAGAATGCTCCTAAAGGTGAGTCTCCTAAAGACTTCATCTCACAGATTTTAGATATGTATTAGGAGAGACCAATCTCCAGAAAAAGACACGTTTGATAAAATCGAAGGTCAGTGGAGAAGAAGAGAACAGAGGAGTTAAACGGACACAGTGACTACTATGTCAAGCATGGGAGCAACTGTGAGGAAGGCACAGGGCCAGGCAGTGTTTCGTTCTGTTCTACAGAGGATCGTTAGGATTGGGGACCGACTTAAGAGCACTTAATTAGAATTAAGACTTGCCCTTGAGTGCAAGAGACAGAATTTTTTTTTAATGTTTTAAAATAACTTACTGGATTTGCTTTATTCCAGGCTAGGCTGCTCACATTTAGGCCTTTTGTTAAGTCACAGGAAAATGACCAAAGTCTTTCCAAATTGGCCGGTATTGTTGATTCTTGTGCATCCACTTCAATTTCATCCTCCTCCTCCTTCTTAACTTCTTCCTCTACCGTTTCAAGTGTTTTGCCTTCTAAACTGTCTTCAGGCTCTTCAGGTTCAGGTTCTAAAACAACATAAAGAGAGCATTGTCAACTAGAAAAGTGATTCTTTGGTCTATTTTAATGTCTCAGAAGAACCACAAAAAGCACATCACTGCCCTAACAAAAAGCAATGAATTTGTTGTTATGTTATTAAACTCAAATGAATATTACAAAGGGAACTACACATTAGGGCAGTGGTAATTCTGTGACCAGAATTTCCATCTTCTTTGTGAGAAACGGTGTTTGATTCCCAGCCAATGCATCTCATTTGTCTGACAGTATACATTTGCATATTGCTGTGATGTTGAATAGGTTTTAGTAATTAGAAAGGACCTTGTGCTGTACTTCTAAAAATCAGCCAATGAAAACTTTACAAATGACCAAAGTGCATTCTGAGTCTTCTCAAGGAATGTATTTACTGGAGCTTTAAGAACATACTTATTTTCTCATGTGAAAAATTAGGCATTGTCTGATATGTTTTTCTTCCTCTATTGTCTAATGTTAAGGTTGCTTTTAGGAATTATATTTTATAAACTTTTCAAAATATAAGGTACATACACCTATACAGAACTGAACATTTTTTACAGAATATACTGAATACATTTTGAGAGGGGAAAAAAAGTACAGCATGAGTTCTGGTAGAAATAAAAAATGAAACTATTTTATCACACATATTTTGAAAACAGCTTATTTCAGAATGGAAATATATATGTATATTTAATCATTTTATTAGGGGCTCATACAACTCTTATCACAATGCATACATACATCGATTGTGTAAAGCACATTTGTACATTCATTTCCCTCATCATTCTCAAAACATTTGCTCTCCACTTAAGCCCTTGGCATCAGTTCATTTTTTCTCCTCCCTCCCGGCTCCCTACTCCCTCATGAACCCTTGATAATTTATAAATTATTTTGTCATATCTTGTACTGTCCGACATCTCCCTTCACCCACTTTTCTGTTGTACGTCCCCCAGGGAGGAGGTCACATATAGTTCTTTGTAATCGGTCCCCCTTTCCAACCCAACTTCCCTCCACCCTCCCGGTATCACCACTCGCACCACTGGTCCTGAAGGGAACATCCGCCCTGGATTCCCTGTGTTTCCAATTCCCATCTGTACCAGTGTACATCCTCTGGTCATGCCAGATTTGTAAGGTAGAATTGGGATCATGATAGTGGGGCGGGGGAAGGAAGCATTTAGGAACTAAAGGAAAGTTGTATGTTTCATCGTTGTTACATCGCACCCTGACTGGCTGTCTCCTCCCAGAGACCCTTCTGTAAGGGGATGTCCAGTGGCCTACAAATGGGCTTTGGGTCTCCACTCCGCACTCCCCCCCCACTCACTTCACAATATTATGCTTTTTTGTACTGATAATGCCTGATACCTCATCCCTTCGACACCTCGTGATCACACAGGCTGGTGGGCTTTGTTGCTTCAGAGCTAGATGGCTGCTTGTTTACCTTCAAGCCTTTAAGACCGCAGATGCTATATCTTTTGATAGCTGGGCACCATCAGCTTTCTTCACATTTGCTTATTCACCCGCTTTGTCTTCAGCAATTGTGTCGGGAAGGTGAACATCATAGAATGCCAGTTTAATAGAACAAAGTACAGAGTGGAAATATTTTTGAAATGTAACTGAGTATACTGATTTAAAAAAAATTTTAGATGGAAATTCATTTTAAATTAAAGTTTGGAGTTGCTTCATTAAGTACAATATATATACCTCTCAACTATGTAACATGTTGAATTGTTGCTTATGGGGGCAGGCAGTGGGGTTCTAAAGAGAGAGTTTATCATTGTAAGCAGTGTCAGAGAATTAATAGTAGAACTGCTTTCAAAGCAAAATTTTTTTAAAAATTGCTGCCTTTAAGAGTATCATGAATGTAAGAAATTGTAATATATTACAAAATATAGAAAAGGCAGTTCAAAGATAGAATTGTGGGAAATGTTGTGTGTTACTGTTATCTGTTTGCCACTTCTTATATTTGAAAGTTTGATCAGCAAGTTTAAAATAAAACATTCAAAGACTGACAAAAAAGAAAACTTTATAGATCACAGCAGTGTGATGTGGACAGAGAGTATCCATGACTTGGATGCTGACTCGACAGCAACTAACAACAACAATCAAAAAAGATTACGGGTGAAATACTAAAAAACACCTTAGAAATATTTTTTCTAACCACCTGGATATCATGTATGGATTTTAATGGTTTTAATTTCATTACCTTTGTCAGAGATGTGGCGAGCCTGAAATAAACGGGTTGTTTGTTCAGATATAGGATAGGAAGTCCAAGATATATTTACCTCCCAAACACATGTATCATCTATAACTAACCTGGAAAGAGGATATTGCTTTTGAATCAATACTAGAGAGCCTACAAAGACAAATCTCTGTAATGTCAAATCTAGTCATCTTACTAACTTGTATATGAACAGAATTGAGATCACAACACAATTCAGTCTTTTTGCTGGCATATCCCTTTGCTTTTAAATCTAAACTTAACTTAAATGACTTTTTTGTTTTTTATAATTTTGTGAACATTGTGACACACGTATCCAAGAACTTATAAAAATTAACATATATATGTATATGTATATATATATATATATATATCCAAAAATTCTGCATGTGAATTCAGAGGTTCATTAAATCCATAAAGATAATCATGAACCACAATAAAGATCGCCTATACAGAAAATGCAAGCATATTTACAAAAAGAGTTTTCAATTTCTTTGTATGCAAACAAAAGCCAGATAATTAGTAAAGACTAAAGAAGAATTGAAGCCTTTGAATTGTGGTACTGGGCAAAGAATATTAAATATACCATGGACTTCCGGAAGAATGAACAATTCTTTCTTGTAAGAAGTATGGCCAAAATATTCCTTAAAACTAAAATAAAAATCACTGCTATTGAGTCAATTCTAACTCATAGCAACCCTAAAGGACAGTGTAGAATTGCCCTGATCGGTTTCAGAGACTGTAACTCTTATGGGAGTGAAAAGTCTCATTTTTCTCCTGTGGAGTGGCTAGTGGTTTTGAACTGCTGATCTTTTGGTTAGCAGCCCAACATGTAAACACTATGCTACCAGGGCTCCTTCAGAATGCTCCTTAGAAGCAAGAATGTCAAGACTTCATCTCACTTGTACTTTAGACACGTGATTAAGAGGGACCAATCCCCAGAGAAGGGCAGAGTGCTTGGTTAAGTGGTGGGTCAGGGAAAAAGATGAAGACCTTCATTAAGATGGCCACAGGGGTTACAGCAATGTGCTCAAACACAGCGAAAATTTGGAGAATGGTGTATGACTAAGCAACATTTCCTTCTGATGCATCAGGTTGCTGCTCTGAGTCAAACTGAATTGATAGCACCTAACAACATCCCTAGGGAGCTACAGGCAGAATGGCCTTAGGTAATTTCTCCCTCCTTCAGTCCCACTTGGACTCTAAAATATGCTAAATTGAGAAGAACACTTTGCTGCAATCCTTTAGGCATCCCTCAGACGGGTTAGCCTTGACACACACAGTAATTTATAATCTGTCCTGCCCAGACTAGATGCAAAGACTAGATACCCTCTCTGGAAGTATGGGCCACCACCACTTTAAAATGGTCGCACCAAGTCAGGAATTTTTTACTTGTATGTGTTATCAATGACATTGTGCTATAATCTGAGCACCCTATTGGTTCACCTTTCTTTGGAATGGGTGCCAATATGGATCTCTTCCAGTCAGTTGGTTGAGTAGTTGTCTTCCAAATTTCCTGGCATAGCTGAGTGAGTGCTTCCAGTGCTTCATTGACTTATTGAAACATTTCAATTGGTATTCCATCAATTCCTGGATCCTTGTTTTTCGTTAATGCTTTTGGTGTAGCTGGGATTTCTTCCCTCAGTACCATTGGTTCTTGCTCCTATACTACCTCTTGAAATAGTAGAATGCCAACTAGCTCTTTCTGGTACAGTGATTCTGTGTATCCTGTCCATTTTCTTCTGATGCTTCCTGCATCATTCAATATTTTTCCATGGGATCTTTCAGTATTTAACTCACGGCTTAGATTTTTTTCCCTTGAATTCTTTTAGCTTAAAATATGCCGAACCTGTTCTTATTTTTGGTTTCCTAACACTAGGTCTTTGCATATTTCATTATAATATTTACCCAGACTTCTTGAGCTCCTTTTGAAATTTTCCGTTCAGGTCTTTGACTTCATTATTCTTCCATTTGCCTTAGCAACTAAAGTTAAAAGCAAGTTAACGAGTCTCAACAATTAAAAGCAAGTTAACGAGTCTCTTCTGACATCCGCTTTGGTCTTCTCTTTCTTTCTTGCCTGTTCAATGACCTTTCACTCTCCTCATGTACGATGCTCTTGTGTCATCACACAGCTCATCAGGGCTTCTACCGTTAGTGTTTAGTGCATCAAATCTACTCTTGAGATGTTCTTGAAATTTGGGTTGGATATGCTCAAGGTTAGTTTGACTTTTGTGGACTTGTTTTAATTTTCTTCAACTTCAACTTGCATATGAACAGCTGATGGTCTGCTGTTCCACAATCAGCCCCTAGCCTGGTTTTAGCTGTTAATATTGAACTTCTCCATTGTCTCTTCCACAGATATAGTTAATTTGATTTTGTGTACTTCATCTGAACAAGTCCACATCACACTTTGTGATGTTGAAAATACTTATTTGCTATGAAAAAGCCATTGGTCCTGTGAAATTCTATAATGCTATCTTCAGCTTCGTTTCTATCACCACCATCATATTTTCCAATTACTGTTCCACCTTATTCATATCCAACTTTTGTATTCCAATTCTTCAATAATGATCAATGCATCTTAACTGAATGATCAATTAATCAATTTCAGACTGAAACATTATGTGGTGGTCACCTAATGTGGTGTCAATTTAAGGATTAAGAGTGTAGGGGTGGAGTCTGGACTGTCAATCTGGAGATAGCCAATGAGACTTCTGTGGGCATGGCCTTCTCCTGAGAATTCTGGGAAAACTAGGACTTCCTCCTTGAAGGCGAGAGACACTTCTCTTTCTGCCACTTCCTGGGAGATATTGCAGAAGACAAGTCATGGACGCAACCAGACCTTGGAAGCCGGAGAAGCCACAGAGAGACCCCTGCCAGCACTGAGATGCTTACAACACCACTAGACTCAAAGACTTTCTACCCACTGGCTTGTGATCATCCTGCATTTGGCTTCAATGCATGTGTTTTGTGAGTATGAAGAGGACTTTATAGATTGGTATCGGACATATGGGCTAATATCAGAATTATGGACTTGATCTGGACTGGGCTCGGACGTTTTCTCAATGTTCAATTGCTCTTATATATAAATATCTTTCTTATACTCATATGTGTGTCCATGGATTTGTTTAGTTTCTAGTCTACCCAGACTAACACATTAATAGAATACTTCAACTATAGCATCCCTGGCATTAGTGGTTAGTGCATGCATTTGAATAATAGTTGTATTTACTGAATTTACTTGAATGCAGACAGACATTATACTATCACAGACAACATTGTACTTCAACATATAGTTTGAAATGTTCTTTTTGATAATGAAGCAACCCCATTCCTCTTGTTTGTGCCATTCCTTTCATAGGAAACCATATGATTCTCTGATTCAAAATGACCAATACTTGTCCATTTTAGCTCACTAAAATCTATAATACCAATATTTATGGGTTCCTTTTCATATTTAACGACTTCCAATTTTCCTGGATTCACACTTTGTACATTCCAAGTTCCACTTACCAATTGATGTTTGAAGCTGTTTGGGGCCGTGCCCCCGTCAGCAAAGGAAGGTCTCAAGGACTTCACTCCGGCAGACTTGACTCCATCCGAGTCATTATGGTCAGTTCCCCTTTGAGAAGCAGCTCTTCCTCAGTCTTATTTTGAGTGCCTTCTGACTGAGGCATCTTCTGGCCCGACCTTGGGCCAAGTTCTGCTCCTGTTCATTAGGTTTTCAGTAACTGACCATGTGTCCATGCGATCCATAGGGGTTTCAGTGGCTAAGACCTCTGAAGTGGACAGCCTATTCCTTCTTCGTAGTCTGTTCTTAGTCTGTAAGCTCTGCTGAAACCTGTTCACTTTAAATTACCAGTATTTCAAATACCAGTGACATCACTTTCAGCAGCACAGCAATACACAAGCCACCACAGTATGACAAACTGTCAGATAAGTGACAGTGAATATGAGAGATAATATAAAATAAGCAACTAATTCAATACATGGACAAGGAAGATGGTAAAAACCATAAATGCTTACAAAGTTTTGAAACCACATCATCCTGTGTCAGCTTATGACAACTCACATATTTAGTACTGAAAGTTTCTAAACCTATTATCAGCTGATAAGAGATAGTGCTGTCTGCAGATTGCATTTAGAAATATGTAATAACCTCATTTACTTTTTTAAATCATTCACACTTGTCTATATGTAATTTTTTAATACCTTTATAAACGGGAAGCTGCCGATAAGCTGCCAGTTTGGGCTGAAATACATTTTCCATTAAAACACGTTCCATAAAAAACAAGTCCTGAAGAAACTTATCAGATTTCAATATTGCATCTGAGTGGTCTTCCTCATCATCATGGACTTTAGCAAGAATTACATTTTCAATATCCATCAGGGAACTCGCTTCACTATCTGTAAAATACAACCATGATGCACAGTGATAATATGACCCAAATACAATTACATGGTGTAGGCATTCTAAAGATTTAATAAACGGCATTACCCCATTTGTTTAGTTTACTTCAGTTTTCAACAACCGACATTTATTGAATATATCCTTTCTGTGCCAAGCATATGCAACACAGATTGCTCAGTAATTTACACTTTTGCAGAAAAAAACAATGGTCATCATCCTCGTGAGGTAATGTGTACATCTATAATCTTTATTCAAATTGAAATAGGATTACTATTTGTCTGTACATAAAAGTATGAACTTGATGATTTCTTCATGGGAACACCATGAATTTTTCTGTAACAAATTGCCTCAAATTTACTGGCTAAAGACAACACAAAGTAATTATCTTACGGTCCTGTGGGTTGAAGTCTGACATAGGTGTCACTTAGCTACAATGAAGATGTCAGTAAGGTCACGTTCCATTCTGAGGGCTTTAGAAGAGAATTTCTTTCCTTGCAGTTTGAGCTTCTAGAAACCATCCATATTCTTCCTCCATCTCTGAAGCCAGCAAAGCTATAGCTCTCTTCTCTTTCTGCAATCACATCTTTTTCTAATCACAGCTGGGAAAGATTCTTCCCTTTTAAGCACTGCAGGGTTAAACTGGGTACACTACAATATCTGTGATACTTTCCCATCTAAAGATTCTTAATGGAATCACACCGGCAAAGTCCCTTTTGCCAGTAAGGTTTAAAGGGGTATGGGCATCTTTGGCGGGAGGGGGTGTGTGTGTTTATTCTTTTACATGTCTTAGCAAACTCCTTTTCAAAACAGAAGCTAGAGATATGCCTACAGCTAATATAATTAAAACCCTGGGTGTTATCTAAGTAAAACTGAGTTAGTTAAAATTTATTGTGCCAACCTGGCAAATAAACACGTGTGGGGTTTATTGAAGGGCAGAGAGATAAATGGCTCCGTGAGCCTCATCTTTCGAGTTCTTGTGTCTCTTGCTTTCTGATGGTCAGACTAAGGTGCAGCTGTCTTAGCCAGTTCCCTGTTCCAGCTGGCAAGGCTTCACTTCCTGCAAGATGTCCCTGAGGAGAAGCCCCATGGACCTACCCCGATGCAGCCCTGGGTGCTGGAGCAGCCATGTGCTGAGATGCTTACACACTCATTGGTTTGGCTTTCCTCCTGCAGTTGGCATCATTACGTGTGTTTTGTGAGATGGAGGAGGACACTTTGTAAATTGGTGTCAGACACAGGGGGTAGTGTTGGACTTGTGGGCTTGGGCAGCACTGGGTTGGGATGTTTTCTTGATGTGCACTTACTCTTTATATAGACCTCTCTTACACATATGAGTTTCTGCTGATTTCTTTCTCTAATGTACCCAGACTAATACAAAAACCTACATAAGAAGACTCTTAAAAATGAAGAGAAGAAGCAGAGCAGCTAAGGACCTCAGGACCAAAGGAAATGATTCACTAATATGCTCTCTGAGTTGTCTTTTGCCATCATGTAACCCAAAAATGGACCTGAAGAAGCTGGCAGCCTGGAAATGCCAATGAGAAAGACCAAGAAAAAAAAAAGCTAAAGCCCCAGGAAAGAGGTAGTCTAGAAAGACAGGCAGGACATGTTAGACAATAAACACTCAAACACAATACTACCGG